CATTCAAATATTTAAAAATATTTTAGGAATATTTTTTCCCCCTTATTTGTTGCTCATTACTTTAAGCGTACAAAAGGGCGTGTTTAAAAGTTACTAAAACTGTCTGGTATCCATTGCTCCTTGGGTTGCTAACGAGACCTGTGACCTTAAATGTGTCAGAGTTATGTTACTTTGCATGATTATAATTTATAGCATCCATTTTGAACTTGTTTTCAAACCTGCTCGTATCTACGCAACAAACGCAGAGAGTCACGTGGCAGAGAGTCACGTGGGCTGTACAACTTTAGAATCGGTGTCAAGGCTATCGATATATACATTGACTCAATTACATGCGAAATGGCAATAATTCTAACTATATTCCAATTTGGGTAAGACAATTTAACCCTAAAAGTTTCATCCCGAATATTGTACTGAAAACATTGTCGACATTTTCAATATAAAGCTCGACATTCTTGCTAGTCGTAAAGAAAAGACTGAAGTGGAATTACTTTGTTTGTTTTTTTAATTCAATGAGACACAAAATGGCTACTCTTGGTAGTTGGACATGTCCCTCGATTACAAAATTTTATCCGTTTGGATAATTGTTTTGGTTTTGGTTTTCTTAAATCTTATATATATTCCTCCTTTTATGTTTTCATTTCTTTGTTAAGCCTATATCGTAGAAAAATAAAAGGTGCTTCATCCATTGAATTGAACACGATTTTACAAGAAAATATATATATAACTGTTTAATATAACGTACAGATAACAAGGAACCATATGGTCCTTCAAGAGTGTCCCTTCTCATCCATCCCAAAAAAAGGAAAGGATTATACCTTTATTTTTCGGGAAATCATCGATACCTCTTTTAAACTCTTGTACTAACGTCTTAACTGGAGCCTAGTCTGTCTTTTCCAGATCTTAAATTTGTGTCATCTTCAGAATACAACACACACACACACACAAAACAACAACAATAACAAAACAAACACAGAAACCTTTATAGTATGAATTTCCCGGTTATACTTTAATAACATCGCCTCTTACCTTTCTTTCTCAAGAGAAAAGGAGTTAAGAGCATTTTGGGAATCTTGTATGAAAGGACAACAACCTGAAATGGTGAAAATAAAAGAAAACGCGTTGGGTGGTTTCACATCCATATATTTACTTTATATTCTATATTTATGGCAAAGCTACTAAGACTATCTGACGCAGTCCCTAATTTTGAACTACTTACCAGAGGGAAAGCAGCCAATCAGTAGCGCCTTATCACGCACCATCAACGCTAAGGGATGCACTGCTACTCTTAAGATATATCCAGAGCTTAAAGACGGACGAATATTTTGTTGTATCCAGTGATGGAAATGGGGGTACACGCGGGCACAAGCCGTGTACCTAGTTCTCAGTTTGCATTTTTTTTTCTCTCCCATTGGTTAAATTTAGTACCACTGAAGATGTTTATTAACCCTATCGTCACGCCATGTCATCACGTTGTTGACTCATATTCAAAATTTTATTGAACTACTATTTCATGAATTTATTTCAGTATGTTTGGTATCAAACTGTAGATTATAATTCAAATGTCAGTATTATAAATTAGTTAATTTGTTAAGTTAAAAGTAAATAATATAAGAGCACACCTAAATATTGATTTTTTTGTGTCACGTGGTATGTTGAATGCAGCATTGGTTCAAAAGAAATGTTTGTGATGTCTGTAGTTTCTTACTAATTAGGAACTAAAATTACCGAAATTAATATACAAGCTAGAATATAAAATAAGAACCTCCTATCTTTTCTATACCTACCACCCCCACTTCTCCTTCTAAGCGTGCATCTCATTTCCTTGTATCACAGGGATTCGAATCCGGCTCGTCAGCTCCGATATCCAGAGCTTTAGCACAGGGTCATCCCGTGCCCTGGTAACTAACAGTGTCAGATCTACCCGAGGTCAACCCGTGGCCTGGCAACTAATAGAGCCAGATCTACCCGAGGTCAACCCGTGCCCTGATAACTAATAGAGTCAGATCTACCCGAGGTCAACCCTGCGCTCTGGTAACTAATAGAGTCAGATCTACCCGAGGTCAACCCGTGGCCTGGCAACTAATAGAGCCAGATCTACCCGAGGTCAACCCGCGCCCTGGTAACTAATAGAGTCAGATCTACCCGAGGTCAACCCTGCGCTCTGGTAACTAATAGAGTCAGATTTACCCGAGGTCAACCCGTGCCCTGGTAACTAATAGAGTCAGATCTACCCGAGGTCAACCCGTGCCCTGGTAACTAATAGAGTCAGATCTACCCGAGGTCAACCCTGCGCTCTGGTAACTAACAGAGTCAGATCTACCTGAGGTCAACCCGTGCCCTGGTAACTAATAGAGTCAGATCTACCCGAGGTCAACCCGTGCCCTGGTAACTAATAGAGTCAGATCTACCCGAGGTCAACCCGTGCCCTGGTAACTAATAGAGTCAGATCTACCCGAGGTCAACCCGTGCCCTGGTTATTAATAGAGTCAGATCTACCTGAGGTCAACCCGTGCCCTGGTAACTTCCCGTGTACCTTCCCGTGTCACTTCTTCTAAAGTATATCTTCCCACGTCACTTCTTTCTAAAGTGTATCTTCCCGTGTCAGTAATGTCAGACCATATCGAACACAAAAAACTCATGGAATTATTAACTTAAATCAAGAACTAACATCATTGATAAATAAATCCCAATTGAAGAATAATTCAACTACAGTTAAAAGACTCTAGTCTGAGATCACACTACCATCACATTGATTAATTAATGTTTTGTCTGTTTTAACACTCAAGAACACGAGCTGGTCAAAATAAGACTGGGTATTAATGTGATTAATCGTAATACTGGTGGTATTTTAATGTGACTCGTATAGTGTTACAGACAAGGTATTAACCAACAAAGTCATGGCTTTACAAGGACTTCAGTAAATCCAGAGTTTAGAAAGAAAAAAAAAAGCCATATAGATACTCGTCAGTTACACTAGGCGAGTTTCTTCTCATTTTTTCCCGTTGTTCTTAAAGTGGTTACACGAACATTTGTCAGCGAAATAAAACATAATGGACGTTAAAATAAGTATATTCATTTACTTCAAAAATGTCCTCCAAATTCGTATTTCCATCGCCACAAAAAATACAAAATACAAAAATAACACTCTGGGGCCATGAGTGCGTTGGACAGTTATATGTTACTATTCACTGAAATAAGAGTAGGCCTAGATATGGCGGTGGGTGATGTTGACTGGATATTTTTTCAATATTCTATAGTTCAGAATTATAGATCTGTAGCTTTGCGCATGCCCGGCATGGCCAGGTGGTTAGGGCAATCTGCGGGTTCGAATCTCCGTCCTCCCGCCAAACATGCTCGCTCTTTAAGCCGTGGGGGCGTTATAAAATGATGGTCAATCCCACTATTCGTTGGTAAAAGAGTAGCCCAAGAGTTGGCGGTGGGTGGTGAGTACTAGCTGACTTCCCTCAAGTCTTTCATTGCTAAATCACGTATGGCTAGCGCAGATAACCCTCGTGTCGCTTTGCACGAACTTTCGAACAAACCAGGCTTTGCGCAAAAATTCTGAAACAAGCAAAATACAACAACGAAAAAATCATCAAATAATTTACGGTATTCTTCGGCATGTCACTACTTCACGCTTTTATTAATTTACGGTATTCTTCGGCATGTAAGTACTTCACGCTTTTAATAATTTACGGTATTCTCCGGCATGTCAGTACTTCACGATTTTAATAATTTACGGTATTCTTCGGCATGTCAGTACTTCACGATTTTAATAATTTACGGTATTTTTCGGCATGTCAGTACTTCACACTTTTAATAATTTACGGTATTTTTCGGCATGTCAGTACTTCACACTTTTAATAATTTACGGTATTCTTCGGCATGTCAGTACTTCACACTTTTAATAATTTACGGTATTCTTCGGCATGTCAGTACTTCACG